AAATGATAACTTTAATTTATTTATTTTCTTTGCCTAGTAAGAAAATCCATAACTAAAAGTGCAAGACATATTAATTAATAGTTATTTCTTATAATCGGTTAAACGATCACGGATTGATATCAGTTAGAGAACCATTGAAAACCAGGGAGTACAGGACAGCTACTGTTTCATCCTAGTTTGGGAATCATAGGAAGTACGCATCCACTGGGATTCGAACCCAGGACCTTTCGGTTACAAGGCAAGCTCGTATACCATTCGGCCACTGGGACCCGATTCAATGGCTCATGAATTCTAACTTCTACCAATTCGTGATTTAGCGCGACCCCAACCATTGTCGTTGGTGGGACATCCATCCACACACGTGACATCTAATTGGACCTCACTGGTCACGAATTCTCACTAGAGCTCAGGAAACTCCAACCTGTAGCAAGTTGCTAGCCAGCATCAGATTAATTTTCTATAGTTTTGGTTTGTAAGGGTTAGTTATGTTTTTCAATGGTTCTCTAACTGATATCAATCCGTGATCAACTCCTCTGTCTGCTCGCATAGCATTCAGCCATGATGATTTACGATACACAGCGGGGTTAGGAGATTATATTTGTTAAGACTAACATGATCAAGTGAAACTTGACAGTCAACTTTTTAAATTATATCATTATATCACTACAATACATGAATAATATATGCCTTCTTTGTGGTAAAGGCATTTCAATTTACTTTTATTTTCAGCATTACTTGCCTTTAACCATGTTTGCGTTTGAGCTTTATTCACTAAGCTAGTAAAATATGCGAAAACATTTACCTGACATCCTATGAAATAATCATAAGTCAAAATAAAAAGTTAATGTTTTTTTTTAAATGATCGGAGGCTAATTACTTAACTGTTTTCAAAATTGTCAAGAATGAATGATACCAATTTGCAATTAATAGTGTTCTCTGACCTGGTTGGTTTAGTTGCGGAGCTTTAGACGTCCTTCTGGACAACATCTTCAGCGCAATATTTAACATAAAGTGGAATTGCAAATCACCCACCTGAGCTAAAAATCTCCTCTATTATTTCAGAATGGTATCAATGTAATAATTTTGACATTTGATAAAATTTATTCCTGATTGGCGGTGATACTTTTCGCAATACTTCTACTCATTGGTAAGCAATACTCTTGTAAAGGCCGTCTCCAAAATCTTAGATGATAAAAGTTATATCTGTTGATGAATCACTTAGTTTAGATGTCTGTATCTTGAACTAAAGTAAACTGTCACTTTTATAAAGAAATGAATAAATAACATTGTATAGTGAAGGATCAATTCGTGTCGCCAAAAGTTGAGAGTACACAGACGCAGACTAATATCAGTAAAAACAAAAAAAGGAGTGTAAGCACAACTGCGTAAAACTGAGTGCATAAGTCCTAGATTTGCAAGATAAGGAGTGAATCGACTGAATGACTATAACGTTACATTTTCATCCATGTCAAAAAGAAAACGCCTATTTTTTTTTCCAGGAATCTGGTTGTTTTTATTCTTATCGCAATATGAATTTTCTATCTACATACTTCGAATTTTCAAACACTCTTGATAACTGTCTATTCATCAGGTCACTTTATTTGTAGATAGTCATTGTGGGAAACTCTTTCTGTTACTTCCAGATTTCTGCAGTTAATTGAGTACAGAATAGATTTTCTCAGATTCTCATTTTACGTTTCTTTTTAGAGATTCGACTGTTGTAGAGATAGCTGAGATCATTAACTTACTAAGGTAGACCAAGGAGTACTGAAGTAGTTTTTAATTCTAGTTTAATACTGTCTAGTAATATCGCACCAAAATGAACTCATTACTCCAAGATTAAAATGTACATTTCTTTAATAACTTTTCAATAGACTGGTATCCGATTAAAGTGAAAAATGGAAGCAGTCATTTTACATTCTATTAATGCTAAGAATACAGCATAATTGGTACCCATGCTAGTCGATTAACGCTGAAGCATTGAAACGAATTTTCAGCGTTGGACTTGGCACAAAAGTGCAGCAGTTTAAGTTGTCACACTTCACATAAATCCACGTAAAGGTAGGAAAAGGGATAAAAAAACATTGAGAGCTAATAACGAGCCAAAACGTTCGGAAGAAAAGACAATTACATAAGGAATAATAAGAATTGAATGGCTCCAAGAGATCAAAAGGAGTGAGTGGGATCGTTTTGTCTGAACTGAAGAAATGAAAATTTGGGTGTAAGATGTTTTCAGTGACTCTGTACACCATGTGGACACTTCTCAGACAATCTACCTTTATTTAAACAGTTCACGCCACTAATCAAAGGATTCATAGGTTAATGTCATTTTGGTCTTGTCATTCATAGCCCTTTGCAAATTGGTCTCTGTTCGGCTAACTTTAAAGTTCCAGGAGACTGAGAGATTGAAATTTCGCTTAAAGTTGAACGAGCACTGTTTACTAGATAGTGATATTATTAAAAATAAGTTCTGCAAACCTAATACTTATGTATGCTGTTATCAGTGTATTTTACCATAATTTCCAACTTTAAAGTTGATAACACTTTAGAACTTTCACAAATATTTGTGAATGTATCAAGATTGTTTGTTATAGAATATGCTAAATAACTTATCAGTAAGAATTAAGTGCTTTAATAGTGTGCAGTAGGTGTTGACTACTGTAGGACCTCAGTCTTCAGTATTTATTGAAATCTATTCATTACTTATGTCGTGGTTAGTTGGTTACAGAATGAGCAACCAGTGAACACACACAACCAACAAAGAAATTAATGAAGATAAAATGAATTTCCTCAAAATTGATAAATTTCAGCAAGTGCAAAACTTGGGACAGGCTGAAAATTGTGCCTATTCAGTTACTACGTTTAAAATGAAATTTTATCAATATGCAATAAGTAAACAGTTCTACGAAGAGTGGGTCTTCTTGACCGAAGTTTCAATCAGTCCCGCGGGCATGTAGCGCTACATCCGTAAATAAAAGTTAGAAATCTTCCACTTTGCACCTCCTTCACTAAACTAGACAGTACCTTTTCAACTATAGGCATCACTGATGAGGATATCAAGGGCAGGACTTCAAAAGAAATACAAACCTTCATTGAGCTGAAATCACTTTGAAAATCTACTACAATCAACATAAACAACAAGATCCAGATTTCCAACATCAAATCGATTCTGGCACATCATGAAAGGCATTTCGAACGGGCTTCAACCTTTTATCAACAGCTGACTTTGGTAGCTCAATACTGAAGATCATATGACCAGGGAGAATTAGTGAGTAGAAACTGTGAGAACGAAGCAAGCAGGATGTCACTGTCCAAGAAATATGCTGAAAGATATGGAGATGCATCGGACAGGCATTGAGAAGACTGCTGAGTGACATCGCGAGCCAGGTCATAGACTAGAACCAGAGTAGGAAACGACAGGTTGGATGTGGATACAAGAGTGATATGGAGGAAATTGTGTGAGAAGGTAATGAAGACTTATAGTCAGTCATGGAGCGGAGTGAAATTGGAGTCAGTTAACGGAATGAAGTGGAGATATGCTTTTGAAGCCCTATGTTCCAATCAAAACCAAGATAATGCTCTGAAAAAGCTATGTGGTAAGTGCAGCTATTAAACAGAAGAATTATTGATGAGTGATCAAGTGGATGGACATTTTGTTAAATCGGCACATAGCATACTAATACACCCGCCATTTATTTCATCCTTTATCAGTTTAGATGCGGCAGAAAAACAATCCAACGCGTTTCATCTCCACAACAAATCCACATGGGGATGTATTTCTGCATTAACCATTTTGATTGTCATTTTAAATTATGCATCATAAATATTCTGAAGTAGTCTGTCTTCATAGGTAACACATACTGACACTCAGAATATACGCCAACTTTTTCGCAAGTTTGAAAGAGAGGAGTGGAAAGTGAGCTAAACATCAAAATTAATTTATTGTCTTCAGCTCATCCCCACTGATCGGTCGGAACCGACCGGTGATTAACCAGATCTGTTGCTTCGACAAAGCTGAAATCAAGTTACCACATTCTTTCCTTTTTTCTATTCCCCTACGTTCTGGGTCAAACACAGGGCTTCAAGCTTGGCGTTTGAAGTTTCGGTTGCGATGTTGCTGTTTTTACGGGGTGGGGTTGTTGGGCTAAACCTTAACGTTTCTTTTCACTGAGCTTACTATCAGCTAGCAGACTAAGCGACGTTTAGGAGTGAATTGGCTGTAAACTGAACTCAGACCACTTGAGAGTTTGGCAAGCATTTTGTCATTCCACAACCAATGTGGATCACCATACTGTTGCACAGGAAATGTTAGTCTTCCAGTACTAGAGGGGCAGAAGCTGCTCTTGACTAAGAAAGACGGTGGAGATAGGAGAAATGAAATCTTCAAGTATAGACTGATGACAGCTGTCACAATTCGTTAAGTGCAGCAACTCTGTGAATCAGGCATACTATTAGTTTAATAGTGAACGCACATTTAAAAGCCAATATCAAGCATATATATATTTATTTAAATTAAGTCATTGCTGAGCCAGAGGCGAATAAATGATAGTTGGAATAAACACTTTTCGATGTGGCCTAGTATTAAGTTAATACATTTCAATCAGAAGTTCCACAATGGAACATATGGCTGACAATAAACGGTTAGTGAAGTTTAGTTCATTGTTGTTTACGAAGCATAAAATCTTTCGAGATTTCTGAGAGAAAGTTTACTTTGGATTCGTAAAATTATTGAAGCAGAAAAGTCAAAGTGAGAATCAAACTTCCAGAAATGAGAATTTTAATCATTTTGCAACTTTACACCCCCAAAATGCAAGTGATGCTCATTTCTATTTCGTTACAACTATCATTTACAGGCATCCAACATGTAAGTACATAGTAAAACAAGAGGTAGTAGTATGCGTTTTAACTATGTTTTGACATTGATATTTGAATTTAAGAGGAAAGTGCAGCGACAAAGAAAATTAAAGGTGATGGTTTATATCAAAATAAGATAGACTCACCTTTGGTAGCTTTAATTTACTTTTGTGGTGATCTGTAAGCCTTGACGAAAAACTGTCCTTTGGTGGTTTTCTAAAGTCACCTTGAGAAGGAAATTGTTTGTATTATTATTATTACTATTAGCAGTCGTAGTTAATGCGTCATAAATTCATGTGACAATCAAATTACCCCCGATTATCAACAAACAGTAATAAGCAGTGTGTCAGTATGTTTATTTCTTCATTGGTTTTAGTCTCTATTTGTGATGTTTCTAAAGGGTGTTGAACGTAATGTGTATAATTAAGTAGTCTTTTCTAGTATGTGGTATATAAAGCCCGGTAGAAACAAACATTTCATAGAAATTTGACACACATATTATCATGAGTGAATATTTTTGAGGTAACAAGTACAGTATTAGGTGAGAAGGGCAGGTAAGTCTGTGAGATTGCAAGCTACATTAATTGAGATAAGTGTTACTCACGTTAGGCCGTAACCTTTCTCTTTAACCAGTGTAACTGGTGGAGATTTATATGTAACCGAATCAAAACTTGTCATCAACCCAGAAATTCTTTGACTGTTTATTTTAGCCGCCATATAGGGAGGTGTGGACAGAATGGCTTAGATGCTGAGGAACAACAGAGGGGGGATGTTGGTGATAAAGCCTAAAAACGTGGCTCCTAGATTATAAATGTTCATTATTCTGCATGTAATAGTTCATTTTTCAATATATAATTGTTATTTACTTATTTCTTCTCTACTTCTAGATGTGGTTTTATGAGTTCTGGCAAATTGACCTACTATGCATCTAAGTAAAATTTAGCCTTAAAATTCCAGTCATTCAAGTGTCGTCTGCAGACAACAGTGACAGGAATAAATCGGTGACAGGTACTTAAGAAAGCAAGTTTATGCACTTCAAATTATGTTAAAAGACCATCTTGTATGTGTCAGATAACCAATAAATAGTTTGAAAAATACTATGAAGTCAAACCTGTAAAAATGTGTTACGCCTTAGGCATTTATTGAGATTTATGGACGATTGTTGGCAGTGATTTCTTATTTACCTTATAAGACATAAAATACAGTTGAGTCAGGCTTTACTTCTACGAAATGGACAGTTTTCTGAATCCATAAGTACCGCTATAAGAACTTTTATTAGAGAATGATTTAAGCACTCCACCTGCAGAAGGAAGACATTGGAATAAGCAGCAAGATAGAAAGAATTTAGATACATGATTGATTGAAATAACTCAACCAGGTATCTCATTACCTTGAGACATAAGAATATGTATCAGTGTAGATATCAAGGGATTCACGTCTGTTTATTGAGGGAGTGGGGTGTTAGAGTCTGTAAAGACAAATGATAAATATTTCACGAGAAGTATTAATATTTGGGACTTAATTGATCGCAAGAAAATTTAAACAATGTATTTTAGGGTTTTCATTCACCTACAGTAATACAGTTAAGTAAATGTCAAGTATTAAAATAAACGGAAATTTTGAGGTCTGAATGCACCAGAAGAAAATTGTTTTCATTCGAAAATAGTTAGTTTATACTTATAATTTTGGCTTTAAAGAGAGGCGCATGGTGTAATAAAGGCTGCGAAGTGCACATTTGGTAGGTGGAATCCACAAAGTTGGTTCGGAGAAAATAATGGAAAATACTGAATAGGTAAAAAATAATGCTGTTACCACCTGGTAGAACAAGTGAATGAAAGAAGACAGATATCCCTTCGTAAAAAGGAGTTATTTCTTACTTTGAACCAAAGCCGATGAAAATGCAGAAGACCACAACAGGTAAATGAGTGGGGAAAAGAGGGTTAATTCTGAACAGGAATAAGAAAACATTGTGATTTCAGTGTTAAAACATTTGCGCATTCATATTAAGGCCGATTCAAAAGTCACGACTTGCTAAAATTGTGGATAGGATAAATAAGTTCCATTGTCCGTAATTTATGCTCAAAAATTAACTTAAGATGTGCCACACAAGTACCCCAGGTAGCACTGCAGTGATTTCGGGCACACTGCAGATACTCTGAGAGAGACATCAGACACACTGCAGAGACTTTAGGGCAGACTGAAGATAACTACCGCACGTCCTGCAATGCGCCCGAAGGAAGTGCTTTCTGGGTACTGCACATATTTCTAAGGTGATTACATGCAATATATACACGTCAACATTTTCAATTTCAACAAAGGCTTACCTTTTACAGGCGTCTTTCTTATTGGTGTTAAATGTGTATTTCTGATGTCATGAATATTATTTCTATGGGAAACATTTTTTTGAAGACCATTCTTCTTCTTTTTAGCACTAGTGACAGACTGAATTATTTAAAAAGGTTAAAAGAAATGTTTACAATCTCTTTAGGGCTTTTTTCAATCATATTTACCCGAGACATCCTATAAAGTCAATTTTTTCGAGCAAAGTAATGAAATCAAAAAGCAGCTCCCTCGTTGTCATACCTACCTTTGCAATATTCAACATCCAATATACAATATCGTTTTTACGAACTAGTTTAAATCATTTTGATTTCTTTAGACCCTCTTCTTGATAGTGAGGTTAAGTTTCTTGATCTTTGGTAAACTTCCGCGTAGCTAGTCCCGCAACGCGATTGTTGCAGCTTTGGTTAACTCCAGAAGGAGTAGTGCTGGGATTAATTATATGTTCTTTGTAGTATGCAATGTGTTAAGACTTTGTTACTACTATGAATGGAGCTAATCCTTTTACCAGTTATTCCTCTGGTATCGACGCCAAAAAGGACGGCAAACACGCAGTGAAAAGAAGTGGAAGCGCACTCGGGTCCTTGCCCCCTAGTGAGCTATCCTTCTGGGATTTCCACCAGGAAGACCATACCTAATCAATGGCAGAACACCTTTGTTTGGGTGATTCTGGTTCGTTGTTTTTTGAGGCAGTAATGAAATCTCCCCTAAGCTGACGGTAGCTAAATGTGAATATGCCTAATTTCTTTAGCCTCTCATCCTACGGTTTGTTTCAGAGACCAACACCTCCTACTTTTGTGGAGTACGTAACAATGTGATTGTACACTTTTTGTTATTTGTAGAAATTAGAGATATTTTACATAATTTTTGTTTAAAACGCTTCTTGTTGAAATATGCATAACTTCCGAGGACAATTGAAAAATACACAAAAAAGTGTACAATCACATTGTTACGTACTCCACACTTTTGCCCGTTTTTGAACTCCTTCCTAGAGATTGGCGTCTCTTCTATGCGGTAAAAGGGTGGAATAATATTACGCACTTCAAGGTGTGGTCTGGCGTATGTTTTGCACAACCTTAGAAAGAGCTCAGGTGTGAGTGCACCTAAGTGTCTATGTGTAAAGTGTATGACCGTATATGTCCTTGCTATGTCCCCGTGTAATTTACGCCTGTGTCCATTCTCTACCTAAGAACTAGACCTAAGTCACGTTCCGATGTTGTGCAGGACAAGCTTTCATTGCACAGGGTGTAACTTGCATTCTGCAGCCCACAGGTGTGTAATTTCACTACTTTGCAATTCGCAGTTTGAAAGTCATGCCATTGGCCACCGCCAATTCTTCCAGAAGCATCAGGTCTAATTGCAGTCTATCTGAGTCCTCCGGACACTTTATCACCCTTTATATCTCTACATCATCAGAGTTTAAAAGAGTTGGGCAGCTTAGACGGCATGGTAGATCATTGATAAAAATCAAAAACATCAGTGGTCCTAGGATAGAACCTTGTGGTACTCCTGTTGAAGAGCTGTGCCGAGATGATCGGACTCGATTGACCGTAGTGAGAAATTTCCTTTCAGCTAGATAGTCCTTCAACTATGATGGAAGCTGCTCATCTATACCTGCCTAACTTATTTTGTGAAGGAGAAGGCAAATGGTCAAATGCCTTCTCAAAGTCTGGGAAAATCATATGGACTGGAACATTCTTATCCCAGCAAGATGTCCAATCGTCTCAAGCTGACCGTGGGTTTGTTACACATGATCTGCCCTTCCTGAAGCCGTGTTGGGCTTCATGGAGTATATTAGACCTATCGAGGTAATCCCCGATGTGATCGCCAATAATACTTTCCAGTACCTTTGATACCACTGGAAGTAGAGCTGCTGGTCTATAACTAGTGGCATTTTGCCTATCCTCACTCTTGAAGATCAGAGAAAGGATGGGTCTTTTCCACTCCTCCGGCAGTTTCCCGAACCGAGTGTTGGAACAAGTTGCATAAGGGCCTACAGAGCTTCAGCACACGGTTTCAGAACAGATGGCCTGATGTTGTCACAACCTGGGGACTTCCGGTTGTGAGTCCCTGGAGCTTCTCTAGTACTATTGCCGGATTTATTTGGAGAGTAGCCACTAGGTTTTCCTCCTGTGAAGTAGTAGTGACAATTCGGTCCGTACCAGTAATACCCACACCGCTGTCCAACTGTTTGGCAAAGACTAAACTGAATGTTTACGCCATCTCCAGACTAGTGAGATGTTGACCGTTTTGGCCGATGGAGGCGCATACCCCCTGGTTGGTTGGTTCCCCTTCCAACATGAATCGATACAAGTTTTTGTGGTTTGCCAGGAGTGTTTTAGCAGGATTATTCTGGAATGACCTCCTGTTATTCCTGACTCTTACGTTGCACCGGTTCCTGAGTTCTAGGTGTGCGCCGTGGTCGATTCAGCTCTTGAACACTCGCTGCGTATAACAAGACTTCCGCTTTGCTTGAAGAATACACTGAGTCATGATGACTTTTTGGCTGTGTCGTGACTAAAGGGGTGGTATCGGAGATAGCTGTGTGAATGATGTTTTTTGCCACTTCCCAGTGTTCATCCACATTCAGCTCATCCCATGCTAATAGCCAGCCTGTGTCGAACAAAAGCCTAAGCTTTCCAGCATAGTCAGCCTTGCTATAACACAGACATCGTCGCGTAATGACACACTGGAAGTGCTCACGGGGAACAAAATCGAAACCTAAGAGTGCATGGTCACTTCTTCCTAGAGGAGGAGGAGGACCTTTTCGACGGTATTTGGTCGTTAGATAGAATATAATCTAGTCTCGATGACTTTCCACTAGAGCCCCGCATAGTGTCGTCTCCAGTCGTCAGTCCTGTATTTCGAGTGGTTGCAGTAGATTTCAACCGAATTTTATTTGACCATACCTCGAGCCGATGTTCACTGATGGGACATTGAAATCTCCAGCCATGGTGATTTGGTCATAGCCCAAGTCCCATATCCTTGTGATGGTGCAGAGCGGTAGCCGGTTGTGCTCTGCCCCGCAGGTGGGTGATTGGTTGATGCCACCCAGTAATTGCTTGGTGTGGCCTACAGTGAAATGATACCATATGGAGTCTGGGAGTTCAATAGCTGATGGGACAATTTCACGTATACATTTTGTTGCTTGTCAAAATATATGGCAACTCCCCCTCTTTCCTTATTATCCCTGTCTCTTCTGGCCAGAACCATATAACCTATACTGATTTCGTGGTTGCAGCTATTGGGAGTTAGCCAGGTGTCAGTGGGGATTATTATTTTAAGGTCTGGTTGTGACTAGAGGTTTCCGAATACACCTACTTTCCATCTCAGCCCTCCGACATAGCAATATAGGCAGCTGACAGTGAGTCTCACAACCTCAGCATGTTGTGCGGTAGTTGACGTTACGTTGTCTGCTGTTAGTGGACTTAACATTGGGCTTAGTTGGCATATTCCAGTGGAACCAGCATGTTGTCATTTTTTCCTTGGGATCGGGTAGGACACTTGTGTGACACTGACTCTCATTCTTAGTACTGCGTCACTGAGACCTGTGGACGTACTAACGCGCCACTTGCTGTCTCCTTGTGGTTCGACGTCTGCCTCCGCAGCATCGGACGCGTCTTTCCATTTTCACCTTGTTCTCGTGCCACCATTGAAGTATTAGGGCCTGTGAGTTAAATTTGACACTTAGCAGCCTTCGGACACTAATCAGTGTAAGATAAGCGGGGCAAGGTATTCAACATCTGTTAAAGAATAGCTGGGTTCTCGGTTTCGTTCTTAGGTTTCTCGTTTGCGATGAACTAGGAATGGTTATAAAACTGTTTGAGGTTGGTTCTACTGTGAGTCATTTTATCAATTACTGTCAGCCTCTACCTTCAAAATCAAAATGACTTGAATAGTTATTTGCGATGTAGGAAATTGGGAAAGACAAGTATCAGTGAGCCATTGACTACTTTGATGTGTTCCCTGTCATTTGAAGTAGGTGTCAATCACGTCTCATAAACCGTTAATGCCCAGCTCTCGCTACGCTCGGGCCCACGCTGTTCTTCGAAGATTTCAGAAACGCTTAGTTATAACGGACGAAAAAACCAAAACACCGATCTGCCGCTTGATATTTCTTTATTGTTACACCAACATATAAAAAGAATAAGCGAACTAAGGTCTGAAAACAAATATTACAATAATAAATCATTGTATTACTTCTGACGATGTTTCACTCTTCTTTCTGAACAGCGACCGATGAGACGATGACTGTCGTATTGATGCCTCCGCGAAAATTGGGGAAGTTGATTTTGAGCAAACAACCAAGAATTGATCGTTCAATCTTCAACTCCATTGACACTCCCCGGCAAAAAAGGGATCCAACCCTTTTTTCCTTCACGACCAATGCACGTTGACTTGGATGCCATTGCGAGAACCTGGGTCACACGGACAGAGCTGAAATGGAAAACAAACAGAAAAGCCAACACACCACAAGCATACCCACAGCACAATCTCACACATCAATGACGACCTGCGCCTCCAGACAGAGACCTCCTCTTGACATCTTGCAACACAATCGCCACTTGCTAGAATGACTCTTGCAGAATGCAAAGTGACCATGGCAGCACCTCACGATACTCTACGCACATCCTCTTATCTACTCACTACCAATTACCACTGAAATCGCTTGTCACTCATTCTGCCTCAGTTCTAGTAGCGGTGACGCATGCGAGCCTCAGTCGTTTACACTCTTTCTCCCCGGCGTGTCGGACCGCAGCTAACAATTATCTCCGTGTGCATTTCATTCTCAGCAATAGCCTCCCCGGCGTATACGACCCATCTGCTGTCCTTAACATCAATCAATTCATTCATGGATGTAGAAGACTCGAAACAACTTCAGAAGTAATCACGACGAAAATTTTAACAAAATTACGCAATAACAACAAGATACGAAAACAACAAGTAAACACAATGAATCCAAAAAACACCAATTGATATGACACACCACACGTATATACAAATAGTACAAACAACCTCGCCGATCATGTCTTGGTGGAATTCCTTTGAAGAATTGCAGGACTTACACCAGTACGCCTACAACCCTTCACAGGTTGACGATTGTAATTTGTGGAATGTCCGGACACAAACAAGATTAACCAACAATTACGATAATTGGAACTCACACAACTATTTAACACAAACATATGTACAATCACTACATCAAATGTTGTGGATTCCGGCATGACAAACTACCCTTGA